TTTTAGCTCATGTGGTAGAGGCTCATGCACTAAGCTCTAGAAGTCCCAGGTTCACTCCCGCCTGCTGGAGTTACACAAATACTTATAATCAAAAATAAATATAAAGTGAGCACTGTACGCTTTGTATTCTGTGCTGTAATTGAAATCAATATATTTGAAAATGTAGAAAACATCCACAAATATTTAAATGGTATTCTATTATTAACAGTGCGATTAATCACACGATTAAGCGTGCGCTAAATCACAATTAATGTTTTTAATCATGTGACAGCCCTATTTATTTTATTTTATTTTCCCCAGGAATTTATTGGTGTTTATTACCACAACAAAAACAGGTGAAAATCAGTGCAAAAAACTATTTATAATTTTCCTGGTTAAATATTGGGGTTTATATTGGTGGATGGAAAGACAGAGTAAAAAAGTATTCAGTAGCTTATGTGACGGGCTGAATCACAGAAACCCCCTTGGGAACTGCCAACTGATGTGCCAAGACTACTTCTGCCCCTGCTTTTCCTGCCAGCCTGGGAATCCAGCCCCCTGTCTTGCTGAGCCAGACACACCAGTCTGCTCCAACACAGACCCAGCGTCTGAAACACGTGCCCCAAAGCTGCAAACTTAACTGAAAGCAACTTACAGAAGTGTTCCTGTTTTTAACACTCAGATGCCCAACGCCCAATGGGATCTAAACCCCAAATAAATCCGTTTTACCCTGTATAAGGCTTATACAGGGTAAACTCATAAGTTGTTCGCCCTCTATAACACTGATAGAGAGATATGCACAGCTGTTTGCCCCCCAAGGTATTAATACATACTCTGGGTTAATTAATAAGTAAAAAGTGATTTTATTAAATACAGAAAGTAGGATTTAAGTGGTTCCAAGTAGTAACAGACAGAACAAAGTGAATTACCAAGTAAAATAAAATAAAACACGCAAGTCTAAGCCTAGATGTTTCAGTAAGTCTGTTTCACAGACTGGACACCTTCCTAGTCTGGGCACAATCCTTTCCCCTGGTACAGCCCTTGTCCCAGCTCAGGTGGTAGCTCGGGGATTCCTCATGATGGCTGCCCCCTTGTTCTGTTCCACCCACTCATATATCTTTTGCATATGGCGGGAATCCTTTGTCCCTCAGTGGGTTCCCACCCCTTCTTCTCAATGGAAAAGCACCAGGTTAAAGATGGATTCCAGTTCAGGTGACATGATCACATGTCATTATAAGACTTCATTATCCACTTACCAGCATACACGTATACAGGAAGACTTACAAGTAAAACACAGCCATATACAGACAATTGTCCTGGTTAATAGGAGCCATCAAGATTCCAAACCACCATTAATGGTCCACACTTTGTATAATTACAATAGGCCCTCAGAGTTATATTTTATATTTGTAGTTTCAGATACAAGAGTGGTACTTTTATACAAATAGGATGACCACACTCAGTAGATTATAAGCCTTGTAATGATACCCTACAAGAGACCTTTTGCATGAAGCATATTTCAGTTACATTATATTGAAATTCTTAGCATATTTTCATAAAATCATATAGAGTGAAACGTCACAGCTTAATGCTTTGAATTCTGTTCATCAATGTGGTTTGCTGCAGAATTAAAACAGAACTCAAAACACAATGCCACCTCTGAGTTTAAGAAAACAATATACCTTTAATTCCCAAATAAAACTTTTTATTTGAATAAAAAGTTTACTGCTGTAGACTTAGAACTATTAGCCTCTAAATACATTTATTAATTGGGCCACACTATTTGCAGCGCATACACTCAACTTCAGCCTTTTCTCCTGTTTTTGTTTTTTTAAAACTTTTGAATAATTGCTTGTGTTCTGAAACATGTTCTGATACAGATCTTCATTTTCTTCCCATTTTAGTGTGTGTCAATTCTTTAAACCGTTATCTGCTAACAGCTTGAAATGTGTACGTGGTGGACGTGAGATTCATCAGTACGTTCAGATGCAAACGCACTTCAGAGCTCGCGTGTGTGCCTCTTTGTTTATTGTATCTTCTAGACCAATACATAGCCTTGCTTCAACAGGCAGCTTTGCATATACACACAGACTAATGTATGAGCGTAATACATATAACTCATGCCAGATATTGTATTTTCCTAATCAAACTAGTTATTTGTTATATATTTGAATGATACAAAAGCAGGGTGAAAATCAGAAAAAAATGAATAATACTTTTTGTAAAACCCGAGAACTTTTTGGTAAAAATCAGTTTAAACTGAAAACAAAGGGGCTTAACCACATAGTATTGAGGTGTCTGGGGAAAACCCTGCATTACTTCAGTTAGAGGCCTTGGCTGCCCAGGAGAGCTCACTTGATTGTGCTTGGGGAACGCCCAGTCGAAAAGGGACCCTGGCAGCTCTGGTCAGCACTGCTGACTGGGCCGTTAAAAGTCCGGTCGGCTGTGCTGCAGGGCTAAGGCAGGATCCCAGCCTACCGTGGCTCTGCACGGTTCCCAAAAGCTGCTGGCTTGTCCCTGCGGCCACTAGGTGCAGAGGCGATCAGGAAAGCTGTGTGTGCTGACCCTGCCCCGAGTGCCGGCTCTGCAGCTCCCATTGGCCGGGAACCGGGGTCAATGGGAGCTATGGGGGTGGCGCCTGTGGGCATGGAGCCACCTGCCACCCCTGAACCTAGGAGCTGGGCTGGACATGCCTGCCGCTTCTGGGAGCCGCACAGAGCCAAGGCTGGCAGGGAGCCTGCCTTAGCCCTGCTGTTCCACCGACCAGGAGCTGCCTGAGGTAAGCGCCAACTGGCTGGAGCCTGCACCCCAGCCCCAAGTTGGAACCCCTTCCCACACCCTAACTCCCTCCCAGAGCCTGCACCCAATGCCCTGCCCCAGCGCTGAGTTCCCTCCCGCATTCAACCTCCCTCCTGAAGCCCACATCCCCTCCTGCACCCCAACCCCAGCCCTGAGGCCTCTCCCACACCCAATCTCCTTCCTGGAGCCTGGACCTCACGCCCCCTCCTGCACCCCAACCCGCTGCCCCAGCCCTGAACCTGCTCCCACACTCCAAACCCCTTGGCTCCAGCCCAGAGCCCCCTCCTGCACCCCAAACCCCTCATCCCCAGTGAAAGTGAGTGACGGGGGGATGGGGAATGGAGTGAGTGCGGGCATAGGCGCTGATTTCGTATGGCAGCTCCACACACCGGCAGCTCCCCACTCCACCCCCCTGCCCCAACTCACCTCCGCCTCCGCTCCGGCCTCCTCCCCTGAGTGCACTGCGTGCCCGCTTTTTCCTCCTGGCTCCCAGCACTTGTGCCGCGAAACAGCTGTTTCACAGCAGCAAGCGCTGGAAGGGAGGAGGGGGAATGTGGTGCGCTCGGGAGTAGAGGCGGGGCTGGAGCAGGGATTTGGGGAGGGGTCCAATAGGGGCGGGGGGCGGAGACTTTGGGGCAGGGGTTGGAATGGGGATGGGGCAAGGGTGGGGCAGGGGTGGAGTCAGGGTGGGGGGGCACCTATGAGTTGGGGGGCTTCAGAGAAGGGATGGGGCTAGGGTGTTCGGTTTTGTGTAATTAGAAAGTTGGCAAACCTAATTGTGCTTCAGCCAGCTATTTTGCACAATAAATGACTGGTGCCCCCACATATTAGGTTTCAGAGTAGCAGCCGTGTTAGTCTGTATCCGCAAAAAGAAGAACAGGAGGACTTGTGGCACCTTAGAGACTAACAAATTTATTAGAGCATAAGCTTTCGTGGACTACAGCCCACTTCTTCGGATGCATATAGAATGGAACATGCAAACTAGACACAATCAACTCCGGTTTGAACAAGGACTGGGAATGGCTGAGCCATTACAAACATTGAATCTATCTCCCCTTGTAAGTATTCTCACACTTGTTATCTAACTGTCTGTCTGTACTGGGCTAGCTTGATTATCACTTCAAGAGTTTTTTTTCTCTTAATTAATTGGCCTCTCAGAGGTGGTAAGACAGCTCCCACCTGTTTATGCTCTCTGTATGTGTGTATATATATATCTCCTCAATATATGTTCCATTCTATATGCATCCGAAGAAGTGGGCTGTAGTCCACGAAAGCTTATGCTCTAATAAATTTGTTAGTCTCTAAGGTGCCACAAGTCCTCCTGTTCTTCCCACATATTAGGTGATGGGTAGGACATGTGACTTCCCCATGTGTCTCCTCCCCCTCCAACCTGGGCTATGCTCTCCCTGCCTTACCTTACCTGTGTGTGTATGTGGGGGTCTCTGGCAGCCAGAGCCTGGCAGGGAGCAGGACAGAGCCACTCCAGGATGCTGCCTGGGAAAGTGCCTGGCTGTGGCAGGAGCAGGCTGCCTCCCGCCCAGGGCTTGGCTTCCAGGCCAGCGGCTGAGGAAGTTGGAGTCCCCCGCCCCTAGCATGCCCAGCTGCCTGAGAACCTGCAGCCCGGCTGGGGAGGGGAAGCCGCAGCAGCCTGCTCCATGCCCAGGCTCAGCTCCTGTGGACAGGCGCCGACTCGGAGGGCTCGCTTGGCAGTTGGCCTCAGAAGCTGAGCCCGGGCAGAGGGTAGCCCAGGCAGCGAGGCTGGAAGAGGCTCTGGCCCAGGCTGCTGGCAGGGCGGGGGCAGCACTTGACCCTTCGTGCCTCTGCAAGTCACCTCCCTCCCCATGCAAGGCAGCGGTAGTCAAGAGGTGACTGCAGGCCAAAGCCAGCCCACTACGTGCCTTTGGTGTGACTGTGACATCTTTGTATTTGCTCATTCTCGTCATTACTGGTACTGCGGCCTGACAACTGTTTCTCTGGCGCGTCGCCCTTGGTTAAACCTTGATCAAGAAATTTGGACCTTGATCAAAAAAAGGGACCCTCCCGGCCCGGGTGCAAGGGCTGCCACGTGCCCGGACTGGCCCGCGGGCAGCGCTGGGCCGATGACTTTGGTGCAACCACGTGGGGGTCCCGGCGCGCGGCTCCAGCCCGGGGACGCCGCGCGCGCGCCATTGGCCGGACGCACCAGCTGGAGCGCGAGCGTTCTTGGGCCGCTTCCGCCCGGGGGGTCGTGGCCCCGCCCCCTTGCGCCTCGGTTCCGTCCCCGGCTTCCCGTGGGGCCGCGCGGCGCGCGGGAAGGGAAAATGGCGGCGGCGCTGGCCGAGCGGAGCTGCCTGGAGCTGAGCGGGGCCGAGCGCGGCCCGCGCCGCCGGGTCCGGGAGCTCGCGCTGAGCCCGCCAGGTACCGGGACCCCCGCCCCTCCCCCCGCCTGGCCCCGCCCCCCCGGGACTCCTCTCCCCGCCTGGCCTTCCCTGCCCCGCCCCTGGGACACCCCCCCTCTGCCTGGCCCCTCCCCTGGGACCCCCCCGCCTGGTCTCCCTTCTCCCGGGATACCCCCCGCCTGGCCCCGCCCCCGGGATACTCCCCCCTCTGCCTGGCCTCCCTCCTCCCGGGATTCCCCCCGCCCCCGCCTGGCCCCCACAGTTCCCGCGACACCTCTCCCTCCCCCCCCGCCCGGGCTGCCCCTGCACCAGCCCACCCTGAGGGCTGCCCCGTCCCCCATCCCAGATCCCCCGCCTTGCCCACACTTGCCCCTTCCCTTCCCCGCAGGTGCCAGCGCAGGCCCCGGAACCGGGCGCTACGCGGACAGCGCTGGCGGGTTCTGCTACCAGGAGAGCGCCCAGCTGGTGTCAGTCACCAGGAACCGCTTCATCCACTGGTAAGTGGTGGGGGAGAGCGCATGGGTATCGGGCACTCTGCCAGGCACACCCCATGTTGCCCCGTGGTGCATATTGCCTGCCCCATGGTGAGTATTGCCGCTGGGCAGGTATCGCTCCCTGGGCTAGGGGGAGGCAGGTGTCTCGGGCTGCTCTTCCCCTGCGGGGTGGGGGGGAATAGCGATGCCAGTTCAGTGCAAGGTGTCCCCTTAAAGTCAATGGATCGGATTTGAAGACATGCCCGAGTGCTTTGCTGGACGGGATGAACTGCTGCATGGCGATCCCGAGTAATAGTTAGTGGGAACAAGCCCATGGCTCCCTGTAACAGGATACTTTTGTCTGCCTGCTGCAGAGTCTATGGCCAGGTTGACACTAGGAAACTAGGTCAGTATAACTATGTTGTTCAGGGGTGTGACAGATCCATACCCCTGAGCAATGCAATTACACTGACACTACCCCTGGTGTAGACAGCACTAGGTCCTATCAACCTAGCTACTGTCTCCCTGGGAGGTGAAGTACCTACCTGAATTGGAGAAGTCCTCCTATTGGGTAGGTAGCATCTTCACTGAAGCACTGCAGTGGTGCCACTCCAGTGTAGACCTGCCCTGTGAGTCTAAACCTGTGTTGTGTTGATCACTGCCGATCTCAGAGGTCTCACAATTGTCAACGTAAAAAGCTTTTTAACTTTTTTCAGGACTACTTCTGGAGACACTTTGGAGCTGGTGGAGGAGTCTCTGGATATAAACCTCCTGAATAATGCCATTCGACTCAAAATCCAGAACTGTAGCCTCTTACCTGGAGGAGTGCATGTGTGTGAGACACAGAATCTCGTCGTCATCTTGATTGTGACCAATCAGACTGTGCACCGTCTGGTACTGCCACACCCTGCTCGGATGTACAGGAGTGTAAGTAGTCTGGGTGGAAATAACTGTACTTTGAGATTGTTTCAAGAAAATTATAATAAACTAGCTACAAACTACCTTTTAGAATCAAAGATTGGTGTTGGCATAAACATAGCTGTGGCATGGATCATTGGAACAAGCTTTGATGGAAAGTGATCTGAAACCTGTAGTTTCTCCACCTAGCATTTTTTGTATTTTTAAAAACTAGTTTAGAGCATTTTTTTAGTATACAACCCTGCTGAAATAGTGGTGCATATACTACACTGAATATTGCATGTACATATGAAATATATGTCTGTGCTAATTTGCTTTTTGAATACTAAGATGAGGATTTTCAGAGGATCCTAGGAAGTTAGGCACCCAAATCCATGGGAACTTGAACATTGGGGCCTAAGTTGTTTGAAATCTGTGACCATTACCATTTCAAGAGCTGTAGAGCAGGAGTGCAAGCTCAGGGTGTCTCGCTTTAAATCCCAAAGACTCCATGTACGTAGTCACTTATGCATCTGTGATTCCCAAATTTTTCTGGTTGAGACTCCTTTAGAGAGATGATACATATTCTTAGTTCCCAAACTAAATGATCCCAAATCATTGGCCAAGTTGAAGTGAGGCCCTATGCTATACTCAGAGACAGAAATGCCCCAGATTCTAAGACCAGAAGGGACCATTATGGTCATCTTGTCTGACCCCCTGGATAACACAGGCCAGAGAACTTCCCCAAAATAATTCCTAGAGCAGAGCTTTTAGAAAAATATCCAATCTTGATTGAAAACTTGCCAGTGATGGAGAATCAACCACAAGCTTGATAAATTGTTCCAGTGGTTAATTACTCTCCCTGATAAAAATGTCTGCCTTATTTCAGTCTGAAATTTGATAATTTTTGAAAACCGCATATGATCAATTCCAAAAATGCTGGGGGTGTTCTAGACATCAAAGGGCAGAACCCTATTAATTTTGGTGAGAATGGAAAACTGGAAAAGCCCAATTTTCACTAAAATCCCCATTTGATCACTTATGATGCAGAGGTGAGACAGTTACTTCACAGAGGCCTGTGGGAGGGGAGCAGAGTCACTCTGGATACAGGGGCGTGAGGCAGTGACTTCAGAGTTAATGATGACATTTGGGTTAGGGTTAGTGAGTCCCTTGCCTCTCAACTCTGGCCATGGACAGGCTCTCCAGAGGGGGGGTGAGGGGCCCAGCTGGGTGTATGGCTGGGCCTACATAAGCCATGAAGTGTGTGATCCTCCAATTATTTTGTGGGATGCAAAGCACTTGTGCAGGAATGTGGTAGTGTTATCAAGATCCTGGCATGTATCTGGGAGGGAGAGTAGGTCCACCAATGAATCAGTTATCTAATCCACTTACACTTTGAGATCCACTCTTAAATGGTCAACCTTTGCCAGCTAAAAATGAGGGAAAGAGCCAAATTTAGGTGACCAGAGAACTTGCATCAAAAGATCTTTTCTCAGTAAGTAAAAGCCAGGAGTAGTGGAGATTATGCATTTGTCATTCCTCCGGCAGTTCCTTTCTTATATCTCTAGTCTAACAGTTCTGTGTGTTCTTGGGACCTGGACTCTTTTCTCTCTCTCTCTCTAACAGGAGCTGATAACAGAGGGCCAGATGCAGTCTGTATTTACAGATATTGGAAAAGTTAATTTTAGAGACCCTTCAAACTACCACATGATCCCCTCCATTCCTGGACTGGCCTCTAATTCCACTGCTTCAGCAGCTTGGCTTAGCAGTGATGGGGAGGCTCTCTTTGCTCTGCCGTCTGCTTCAGGAGGAATATTTGTCCTCAAGCTACCTCCTCATGATGTGCATGGTAAGAGTTGAGAGTAGAGTATGTAATCATAAGTATATATTTATAAAGCTGGGAGTGTTTCTCACACCTTCACCGATTGTCCTGCCTATGCAAAACCAGCCAGTTCATGCTGGTATAAGAAGGTGACACGTAGTGAAGGATGGCCATGATTAGATTAATACTGGTCTGGATATAGTTTACTCCCGCTCATGGCTTTGTCAGTGCCTCTCAGTCCTGACCTGCAGCATCCTTTCCTATTTCAGTTTTGGGCTTCAGTTGAGCTTGACTTTGTCTTGGGTGCTTATTGTAATCCGATTCTCAAAATGCTTGATAATTCATGCCTGTTGAAGCAGCAAATGATATTCTGCACATTGCTCAGCAGTTTCATTTTCATTTTTTTTTCAGGGATAGTTTCAGTTGTGGAGCTGAAGCAGAGCTCTGTGATGCAACGTTTGCTTACAGGTTGGATGCCAACTGCTATCAGGTTAGTGTTGTCATGTGACACACAGGACTGTCTCTTTTAACCCCCTGCATGGAAGCCCATGGATTGTATTCAGATAAATTCAAAGGTAGACAAGCACACTGCAGGGGTAGTGCTCAGCATGTAAATAGCACTTTTAAAAAGAGGTTAGGAACTTGCTGTAGGCCACACAGCGAGTCACAGTGACAAAATTGGGATCAGGAGTGAGGAGCTGGCTTAGTCCATTTTACTGTGCTGCCTCTGGATCTGCGTGGCTGAGATCTCCATGAATATGTTGCATTTAGTAACTGGCCCCTGGACTTTTACCCAGGAGTGGGTTGGCAGCCAGTGCGATTAAGGATGACGCGTATGCTCTCTTCCCAGAAATCTAATGGTGATAGATGCATGGATCACCGTGGTCCATATTTGTGCATAATAGGTGACATCTCTTGGGTAGCTGAAGACCAGACAAGGTGTTCCTAGCCACTGCTACTCTATGGGCATCTGAAAATGGGGACAAGCCCATAAAACCTCAGATTATTTTGACACCCATTGGGAAGCTCCCCATAATTTAGAGAGCCAATATGGATCTGACCACTTCAAAATGCTTCCTCCTGCCTTGACTTTCATAAGAACATAAGACTGTCCATACTGGGTCAGACCAAAGGTCCATCTAGCCCGGTATCCTGTCTTCCAACAGTGGCCACTGGCAGATGCTTCAAAGGGCACGAACAGAACAGGGCAGTTATCAAGTGATCCATCCCCTGTTGTCCAGTCTCAGCTTCTGGCAGTCAGAGGCTTAGGGACATGCACTAGCTACTGATGGACCTATTCTCCATGAACTACTGATTCTTTTTTGAACCAGTTATAGTTTTGGCCTTCACAACATCCCCTGGCAACGAGTTCCACAGGTTGACTGTGTTGTGTGAAGAAATACTTCCTTGTTTGTTTTAAACCTGCTGCCTATTAATTTCATTGGGTGACCCCTAGTTCTTGTGTTATTTGAAGAAGTAAATAACACTTTCTTATTCACTTTCTCCATATCAGTCATTTTATAGAGCTTTATCATATTCCCCCCCAGTCATCTCTTTCCAGTCTTTTTAATCTCTCTCTTAGTACGGAAGCTGTTCCATACCCGTAATCATTTCCATTGCCTTTCTCTGAGATGGGGCAACCAGAACTGCATGCAGTATTCAAGGTGTGGGCATACGATTTAGTGGTATTATGATATTTAATGGCATCTTATCTATCTTTTAATGGTTGCTAACATTCTGTTAGCTTTTTAGACTCCTGCTGTACAATGAGCAGATATTTTCAAAGAACTACCCACAATGACTCTAAGAGCTTTCTTGGTCGTAAGAGTTAATTTAGAGCCCACCGTTAATGGTGTCTAGAAACTTTATCTCTGCATCCCATCCTGAGGTGACGGTCAATATGGGGATAGCTGAAATCCCCCATTATTATTTAGTTTTCTATTCTTCTAGCCTTTCTCATCTCCCTGAGTATTTCACAATCACCATCCTAGTCAGGTGGTCAGTAGTATATCCGTACTGCTACACTCTTATTATTCAAGCATGGAGTTTCTATCCATAGAGATTCTATGATACAGTTTGATTCATTTAATTTTTTTACTAAATTTGACCTATTCTTTCGTTCAGTGCCTCTCCCCCCCCCACCAGCAGACCCCACTCTGTCATTCTTGTATATTTTGTACCCAGGTATTAACGTCTCCCATTGATTATCCTCTTATATCAATGTCCTCATTTAATACCAGGCACTCAAGTTCACCAATCTTATTATTTAGACTTCTAACATCTGTATACAAGCACTTATAAAATTTGTCACTTTTTAGTTGTTTGTCTTCATGTGATGTACTTGAATGGGACTCCTTTTTATTTGACTGTTTCTCTTTAGTTCCTACCTGTACTTTATCTGCTTTTATCCTTCCCTCTTTTCTAGGATATAGAGAATCCCTGTTAATAGATCCTCCCCTAAGGGATGTGTCTGTCAGAACCATGTGCTCCTCTGCACCCATCTGCTTTCTCCCACCCCTTAGTTTAAAAACTCCTCTGTGACCTTTTCAATTTGACATGTTAGCAATCTGGTTCCATTTTGGTTTAGCTGGAACCCATCCTTCCTGTATAGCCTCCTCCTTTCCCAAAAGGTTCCCCAGTTCCTAATAAACCTAAACCCTCCTCCCTACACCATCATCTCATCCATGCATTGAGACTCTACAGTTCTGCCTGTCTAATTGGCCCTGCATGTGGAACTGGAAGCATTTCAGATAAAGCACCATGGAGGTACTGAACTTTAATCTCTTACCTTCCAACCTAAATTTCACCTCCAGGACCTCTCGCCTACCTTTCCTTATGTCACTGGTACCTACATGTAGCCTGACCATCAGCTCCCCCCAAGCACTGTACATACATCTATCTAAATGTCTAGAAAAATCCACAGCCTTTGCACCTGGCAGATAATTCACCATGAGGTTCTCCTGATCATCACAAACCTGGCTATCTATGGGTATGTCTTTGCTACCGGCCGGATCAGCGATCGATCCAGCGAGGGTCGATTTATCGCGTGTAGTCTAGACGCGATAAATTGACCCCTGAGCACTCGCCCGTCAACTCCTGTACTCCAGCTCGGTGAGAGGTGCAGGCAGAGTTGATGGAGGAGTGGCAGCAGTCGACCTGCCGCGGTGAAGATGTTATTCACGTAGCTGAAGTTGCGTAACTTCGATTGATATCTCTCCCCACCCCCCCACCTCCAGTGTGTAGACCTGGCCTATATTATCTGTCTCTTCCTAATAACTGGGATCCCCTCCTCCAGAGAGGTATCTTCAGTGTGAGAGGGTACCATGACATCATCTGGAGGGAGGGTCCCTCTGCTCTAGTTTGATGATCTCCTCCCCCGAGACTTTCATCCTCCTCAACAGCACAGAAACTGTCAGATGGGAGGTGGGACTACCCTGCTGTGTTTTGCAAAGTCTCATCTATGTACCTCTGTGTCTCTCTTATCTCCAGTTCGGCCACTGTGGTCTCAAGAAACCATAATTGGTCTCTGAGGGCCATGAGTTCCTTACACTGATGCACACGTACGCCACCTGGCCGCAAGGCAGGTAATCATACATGCTGCATTCAGTGCAATAAACTGGATATTCCCCACTCTGCTGCTGGCTTCTGCCTGCATTCTTTTGAACAAGAGGAGTGTCATAAGCTCTATGGGATCACAAGTGAGAGTTCTTGTGCTGGAAGAGAGATTGCATCTTCCAGTCCTTTGGGTTCTCTCACAAAGGCTCTAGTGTGGCCACACCTATTCCTGCCAGCTCTCGCAGTCCAGTCTGCAGCACCTCATGTTAAACAGTGTCAAAGGCATCCGTTAGATCTGAAAGGACTAACAAGAACTTGTTACCTGTCTATTGCCATCAGCGCGGTCTCTGTGCCATGAAGCCTAATTGAATGGATCCAGGGCCTGGTCTACAAGGGAAAGTTCTTTAGTGGTATAGCCTTATGCGTGAGCTGAAACGTTATACCGACATAATCCCCTATGAGGACAGTCTCCTTCTGACATAAGAATGCCTCTTTTCAGTTTAGCTTGTTGCTTGAGGAAGGGATTTAAGCTGAACTAATAAGATGCTCTTCTGTCAGAATAAGTGTTTCCCCACATGGGGAGATTGTCAGTACAACTAGTAAAACTTTCCTATGTCAAGGATTCCTGAAACGTATGTGGTGTTAGCCTGCATGCGTCCTTGTGATCTTCACCAAAGGGGAACAGCTAGAAACTGGGTGGTAATCGGCAAGTTCAGGTGGCTTTTTGAGGAGAGAGGTGTTTAAATGTTCTAAGTAACTTGTTACTGTCCTCAGTTTGCACTCTCTCTCCCTGTGGTCTGACAGCATTACATGACATTTTGATTAAAAAGCTACAGTGATATAAAATTAACATGGCACAATTAAATGGATTAAAAGCTAGCTAACTGATAGGGACTCATCAAACAGGTGTGTTTCTAATGGGGTCCTGCAGGGATCACTTCTTGGCTTTACCCTATAACACTGGAAGAAAATATAAAATCATCACTGAAAGTTTTCAGGTGACACAAAAATTTGAAGAGGACAGGTCACTGATACAGAGCAAACTGGATCTCTTGGTAAACTGGGTGCAAGCAAATAATACGTTTTTTTTTTTAATATGGCTAAATGTAAATGTATACGTCTAGGAACAAAGAATGTCGGCCACGCTTAGGATGGGAGACTCTTTTTCAGAGTCATTGCTTCCCAGGATAGATTTTTTTTTTTTTTTTTTTTTTTTTCTTGGAGGGATTGATAATCAGCTGAACATGAGCTCTCAGTGCAACTCTGTGGCCAAAAGGCCCAATGCGATCCTTGGATGCATAATTAGGGGAATCTCGCGTAGGAGTAGAGAGGTTATTTTACCTCTGTATTTGACACTGGTGTGACTGCTGCTAGAATCCTGTGTCCAGCACTTCAAGAAGGATGTTGATAAATTGGAGAGGGGCAGAGAAGAGCCACGAGAATGATTAAGTGATTGGAAAACCTGCCTTATAGTGATAGACACAAGGAGCTCAATCTATTAGCTTACCAAAGAGAAGGTTAAGGGGGGAGTTGATCACAGTCTAAGTACCTACATAGGGAACAAATATTTAATAGTGGGTTATTCAATCTAGCAGAGAAAGGTATAACACCATCCAGTAACTGGAAGTTGAAGCTAGATAAATTCAGATTGGAAATAAGGTGTAAATTTTGAACAGTGAGAGTAATTAACCATTGGAACAATTTGCCAATGGCTGTGGTGGATTCTCCATCACTGACATTTTTAAAATCAAGATTGGATGCATTTCTGAAAGCTCTGCTCCAGGCATTATTTCAGGGAAGTTCTCTGTCCTGTGTTATCCAAGAGGTCAGACTAGATGATCACAACAGTCCCTTCTGACCTTGAATCTGAGTAATTATTCACCTGTTAAGCTGTAAGCCCCTTGTGACAGGGAGTTCGCTGTCTGTCTTGTGTGCACAGAGATTCGCTCCCCTCAGTACTGTGAATACTTAATTAAATCATTCTGAATTACTACTTGTGTTTTCAGAGGTGACCAAGGCCCTTCAGACCTTCCTGTTAGCCTCTCCGTTCACTGCCTTGAACATGATGCCTTCCTATTCGCACTCTGCCAGGATCACAAACTCAGGATGTGGTCTTACAAAGTGAGTGTGTGTTCTGGGTTGTGATTTGCTTTGCAGATGGGGTTGATTCAGGGCTAGTCACACCACATGGATGATATCGAGGTGCTGTGAGACAGGATGGGCTGTTGATCCAGGAGCGATTCTGAGACTTGGCTAAACTGGTACTCCATGAACTGGCCATGAGTTCGTTGAGTAGCAGGATTTCAGGGAACACAAAGAAATGGTCACGTCTTGACTCCTATTAATATTTTACTTGGAAATTGTATGATTTCTAGATATAATGAAGTCTTCAAACGTAGGACAGGTAACAGTGCAGGCAACAAGTTAGCAAGCTTACTGCACTGCCTTACCACGGTGTCTAGGAACTTGAGAGCTTGACTGAGTGCACCAGCTTGTGTAACACAACTCACTCTGAGCACCATATCCAAGTACCAGTTCCCTCAGCCCACATACGCTCAGCTAGTTTGAATGGTTGAGTGGGGCTGGGGTTGTAGTTTGACTGCGCAGGCTTTCAGAGCACACGCTCAGTAAGAGGCAAGATCAGGAGAGCAAAGCAAATGAACCGTGTTTCAGGTAGTTGTACAGGCCACGCGTAGTGCTTCAGCCTACCCGGAGAATGGGTCGGTGCAGACTTGTGTTTGAATGCATGGCTCCCCAGAAGGCTGCGAGGGAGACAAGTCTAAAAGACTAGAAATCTCTTAATAGTGTTTGAGGAGCGTCAAAGATGTAACATAGCTGTTAAAGCAGGGTTCCCCACCTTGAGGAGATGCTAACCTAGTCTGGGGGAAGGGGGAACCAGATTGAGAAGAGCAGCCCTACGCGGGGTGGGGAAAGCTGCGTGACACTGGATCTGCTCTGATTCTCCACTGCAAATATGCTTCTGTCAGTTCAGTGGGTAGTTTCTTGAAACCCACTTTCCTTCCTAGCAGTCCCTAGCTACAGGAGATGCTCATACATAGGGCTGCAGGCCAACAAGTAGCACAGGCTTTGTGTGTTTGCAATCGCAACAGGCAGTTCAGCTGCCAGAGCGTGTGTCTCCCTCCCAAAGCATCACACGGCTGCCCCCACAAGGGCAAGCTGTAGCCTTTGTGTAAGTGAAGGGAAGAAGGCAGGAGGAGAAACTAGGGGAGCAGAAATGACAGACACACATACACACACACACAGGGGAAAGCAATGAAAAGGAAAACAGGTGGAGGAGTGGGGGCGGGAGAGAATAAAGGGGAAAAATGGACCTGGAGCTAGTCCAGGATAAGGTGAGTTATGAGAGAAAGTGGGGAACTGTTGCTGGACTTGCATATTAAAGGACAGGAGGTGGAAAAGCTCCACCCCTAACCTTCCTTCATGCTGCTTGCCTGCTGTCTTTGCTCTGGGCAGGACCAAATGTGTCTGATGGTAGCCGATCTGCTGGAGTTCGTGCCTGTGAATAAGGACCTGAGGCTCGCTGCTGGAACGGGACACCGATTGCGGCTGGCCTATTCGCAGTCACTGGGGCTCTACCTTGGTGTTTATATGCATGCACCCAAGCGAGGACAGGTACAAAATGACCGGAACCTTCAAGAGATGCCATTATAGGCAAAGACCGTGAATTATTGGGATGCTCCCAGTTTTCTGAGCTTCAGTTCACGGTGAATGAGGCAGGGCTGCAGCATTTATTTTTAAATATCTTGCTAGAACAGAAATGAAGAGGACAGATATATACAGAATTCACCTGCAATCCGTCAACCAGTTTCCTTTTGTGAACACTCTAGAACTATAGTTACAGTCCTTATTTTAAATTAAGGATGAATATATTTTAAATTAGTTCTGTGCTCACTGTTTACCTAGCACACTCATTCACTGTGGTAATTGCAGGCAGAACTTGGCCCTTGGCGAATATGGATTGGCAGGTCCCTTACCGCCTGCACCAAATGCCTTTAGTTGAATGTGTCACTTTAACTTTGACAGCTCCTGGGTTGAGTGCTATATTTTGCATTAATATCCATTGTGCTGGCATGGAGGAGTTCCACTCCTGGACCTGGGCCCATTGTGCTAGGCGCTGTACAGACATGGAACAAACAGGTGGCCCCTGCCTCAGAGAGTTTACACCTTCACTACATCGTTTAGAACAAATAGTCATTGTGTGGATTGGGATCTCTTAGCCAGTCCGAGTGCTTGGGGTTTCAGACTGGAGTGGTACAGCTGTCAGTGTGTGTGCGTGGCATCTCTGGGCGAGGCAATTGCATTTTAGTATCGTATGCGCTGCCTTGCACTACTTGGCACTTGTTCTTTCAATCATAAGATTCAAAACAAAGTACTTCAGTATCAGGTGCTTGGATAATGCCGTGATGGGCGTGGGATAAGAACCTGAGTAGAACAGTTTTACTGTGTCCCTTTGATAGCATCTTTATCTTAATGAGGATGGCTCTTTTCCAGCCATTGACTTACCTTGTGCGTGTGTGCGCAGTTCTGTGTCTTCCAGCTGGTGAGCACTGAGAGTAACCGCTATAGTCTTGACCACATATCCTCCCTATTCACCTCTCAGGTGAGTGCCAATGCTACACTCCTTGGGGAGGTGGGGTACAAAACTAGTAGTGGGCAGAGTCTCGCTGGAAGAAGAGTACAGATCCATAAATCAGATACAAGTTTGGGGACTTTTAGAAGCAATAAACAGGATCTGGGTTTGCTCCTGTGAATGTGACAGAATAACATTACATGTTTCTCTGGTTTATGCACTTGTACCCCCTGAGAGCTTTAAACGTCACTTGCATTTTCGGTGTGTTAATCAAGTCTCCATGCTATCTTTTTCTCCTAGGAGACGCTTGTTGATTTTGCCTTAACACCAGCTGAGATCTGGGCACTGTGGCACGATGATGAGAATCAGACTATTGTGAAATACATCAACTTTGAGCAGTGAGTCTCCCTCCCGTTTTACTGGTTAACCTTGTGGGGTAGTAATTGCAATGGTCACTATTACTGTTTGCTAAAATCATTCCTACATTTCCTTCCCTCCACTTGCTTCCTTTCCGATCCGCTTGTGCTCAGTTTTTCAGAAATAGTTCATTGTCTGTTAGCTAATTTCCTTAATATCCCAGGGCGCGTGGCGTCTGTCCACTCCTTTCTCCTTGTAACATAGGTTATTTAGGTTTTTAACCCTGTTTTATTATAGCTGTGATAGAAAGAAAGCAGGGTTAAGAACTCATAGGTCTGGCATGATTAGAAGATCACAGGGAACATCTGTGCCATTCCCAGCTTCCCCCTCATACTTTTTTGCCAACTTTTACATATTCATCTGGGGCAAGTAGGAGGAGTTTGAGGACCAGCGGGTAAAGATATTAGTTTATTCATTGGCCTTTGGAAGGTGGGCAAGTAGACACTGTATCTGGGCCCGTGGATGGACTGAAATACCTGGGTAAAATGAGTTACAAGTGTCCTGCTTCCCTTTAGACACATGAATCTGCCATTAATTCTAACTGGGCAGAGTTTCAGAATCAGCCCATCTCTACATACTTATCAGTAAAACAAAGGGAGGGCAAAGCATGATATCATAACGATGGGCTTGGGATAAGAATCTAGATAGCTGGCTAGATATATCCATGGGTTAACTGGACAGCAGAGTAAACAGAAATAAGGATGTAGCTCTTGTACATAAGTCATTAGTCATCTTGGTTAAGATTATCCTACCCTTTGCCCCATCTGGACCAGCACTGAATTAATATCTGTGGTTACTGGTGAAAGTACTACAGTTGAACTCGCTTCAGACTAGGATTACCAGAGAGTTTAGTGTTCACTGCGACTGAGCCTACATGACTGATGGAAATTCTTTTTTCCTCAGAAATATTGCAGGCCAGTGGAACCAAGTTTTTGTGCAGCCTCTGCCGGAAGAAGAAGTGAATATTAGAGATGACCAAGACCCTAGGGTGAGTGGACAATACAATACCAACCAGAAGTAACTTGGGCTGTGTCCCTAGCTTCCTTTCTATTTCTCTCCCCTGCAGCATAAGATAGAAAGACAGTTGGGACAGACCAGTGTATGCAATATAACTTTATTTTGTATGTTGTCCTTTATACAAACGGTATCTTTAAAGCGTCACAGAACTAAATGAGATAACAGACACACAGTATACATTACAGTGGTGTAAAACATCTAAGCTGGCCATAAGGCCAGTAACTGAGGAGGAACAGAAATTGTTATAAGCAAGGGAGAAAGCCTTTCAAGATGAGATTTGTAAACAGCTTGACATCAGCGAGCAGAGTGATACAGGATAGCTGCTTCTGATTGAGAGGCTAGAGCAGACATGGATTTCCAGCCTGAGCAGAAATGAGGCTCCGATGGAGTGGTCTAAGGATGGGAGCAGAAGCATTAAGCTACTTAGAGGATGTGTCGAGGCGTGAGGAGCGGCAGAGGAGGTGGAAAAAGAGGGCTGAGATATAGGCAAGGGCAGAGTTGCATACAACTCCGAAGAGGGGACAGTGAGTTGGGATTTGATACAGCAAGGGATTTTACTGTGAATTAGGGCAGTTGGAGATTCAAAAGAAGGATGTGAGTTCCTCAGGCCTGGAGAGGTGATCTAGGAGGACAGGCATTAATGAGACCGAAGGGAACACAGGAATTGCCAGTGCCATGGGAAGGGGAGTAGGAATTAGACATGGCAGCCTGAAGGTGCTCCTTGCTCCTCATTGCACATGATACAGGTGGGATGGAAAGAGGGGGTGTTGAATTCTAGGGGATGCTATGAAACCAAACCCTCAGTTTTACCAACACTAAGGAGCTGTGCTGCCTTCTGCCCCCACGAACAGGAAAGACAGCCTCTTCTTTGCAGTCTCCTTTCAGGCTGTTAGCTGCGGAGTTCATCCCTGCAGTGTGTGTGTGTCTGGCTGCTTTGCATTCCGGGGGTGACTTACCTCATTCTGTGAGAGACTAGACCATCTAGGCTGGGTTTCAGATGGTCAGAATCCTTTTGCAGAATAGACCATTGAAAGGCCAGTAATACTGTAATGTACAGTGCCACCTGTTAGCAGGCTCCTGCAGAAGAGATGCGGAATTCCAGGAGCCTGGAATGATGAACTGTAATTAGAAGCCTGCACCATTTTGCATAAATGCGCTTCTCTGAATTACCATTTTGTTCTTTCACAGGAAACTTATTTGGAGTCTCTCTTCATGCCTGGTCGGTTCACAAATGCTGCTCTACTCAAAGCTCTACAGGTTAGCAAGCAATCAGTTTGTGCTCCCTCAGTTCCAGCCACTTTGTGCCACTTCTGGCTGCACAAAGTGGACATGGGGTCACTCAAGGAGGAGAACTCTCAGCTGGCCTGCATGCCATCCGTTGGCATAAGGCCCCACAGAGACCAGTCACCATAAATTAGAGCAGCCCTTAAACAGGTCTAACTTTTGCTGATGGGCTGGGAAGGGAGGCATAACTTGCTTCCTGACAGCCTCACTTCACCTGAACTGACCAGATCTCGGTACAGGAGAACATCTGGGCCTGCAAAAGCTGCATCTCTGTGTGTATACAGTGTCATAGGTGTGCTTGATACGCTACAGAAAAATGAAAGCTCCCTGCCCTGAGGCGCTTAGTTCTCCGTGCACATAACACCGCAAGGTACAGGCAGTGGCAGGAGGAAGACGGCTGTAATAGTGAAAGGTCCCAAGGATGCTGAGCCGGGAAGAGCGTCGAGAGCAGTTTTTATGGGCTGGAAAGGGTGGAGGCTGGGCATGGTGACAAGAACAGTCTGAGATGAGGACGTTTATACAGTGGCTGTATGCAGCCTGCCCAGCGCGTTTCAAGGAGAGGGCAAGGAGGGTCCAGGCTAGGGTCCTGTGGATGAGGGCATACAAGAACATGTAGGTATGTGGAGAGAGAAGAACCCGAGGAGAAGGCAAGGGTGAGAGCGAGGGTGGCGGTCAGTAGGGCCAGGGGATGATGGAGGAGTGGGAAAGAGAGCGGGCAGGAGGTTTCAAGGGCAGGGTCTGGGGTGCAGCAGAGGATGGTGAGAGGGGAGAATGGGGGAGTGGAAGGTCATGCCTGACCTAGTCTTCACTGCCAAGAAGCTGGTGTGGAAAGGGAAGGAGTTTGGGGAGGGTTTAGGAAGCAGCCAGAGGTGTGAAATAGTATTGACCGTTTGCTGGCCTCGGTCAGGGAGGGCTGGGTGTGTGGACAAGGTAGCAGAGGTGACTGATGACATCAGACCCGTAGCAGAAGATAGCCAGGTGGGCTGGGGGTTTCCTGCTGAACTTTCTGTGGGTCAGGACCAGCGGTGGGAGAAACGAATGCTAGGTGTGAGCCGAGCTGGGATTGCTGGAGTGGGCGTTGTGTGGTGCGGGGGCGGGGAACGTTAACCCCAGAGCTGAGGGAGGAGGGGAGGGGTTTGGGCAGCAGCAGGCGCTGGTGAGCTCGTGGATTGGAGGGTGCAGGAGGAGGAAGGGCCAGGGGTTGAAGGGAATGCAGTGTTGCTGCTGCTCCATAATTCTCTGATGGAGATGCTGGTGGGCAGCGCTGGACTCTGAGTCTCTGTCTTATGCTGGTATGACTGCATTTAAGTCACTGGTGTGACAGTAGAGAATCAGGTCCCTGGTGTGCACCTTATCGCCTCCGAGAACACCACCCTTGTTCTCCCTTCGGGCAGGACCTGGTGAGCTGCCCACTGGGCTGGCTCTTGACTCAGTGTAGCTTCTGTGATGGAGCTCATGGGCTGAGCTCAGCAAAGCCCTATGCTCACTTCCCTGGGGATGCGCTGCCTGTAACGAAAACGGCATCTGATCAATTCCAGGTCTGGGAACGTTCCAGGTGTCAGTGGGTTTGGTGAACGTTGGAAAAGCCTGATTCCACTAACCTCATTGTATCAGTCTGTAGGCTGTGGATCCAGGGGGAAGCAGTGACTGCAGGGAAAGAGGGTCTCTGGGGATCTGAGGGAGGCCGTGACCTTGGGGTTAGGGGACCAGAAAACCTGCTGTGCCTGCAGCACCCAATGGGCATTGTATGGGCCTGATTTTAATGCACGTCAGGCTGCTGGAAGCCCCTTTCCTCCATCTGGCCAGCCCCTCTAGTGGGCCCCTGGACCCCCACTACAGCCAGTCCCTCCCTCGTATTGGGGGCAAAAGGCCGGGCTGTACGCTCATTCCGACATCTGTAAACAGCGAAGTGCGTTTACTTCGCTCTGGTGTATCTTGGCTGCCTGTGCCTAGCTACAATTCTCTGCAGTGAGTGATGTTACTCATCTGTTCGACATCTTCACGTCGTGCTGTCACTTAGACAGGCTCGTGGCAAGTCTAGTGCTTCAAAACGGAAGTTTCCTGTAATGTTTTTGTAGATCTTTTCCCGAGGCGGAGAGAGAATCATGGATCTGACCTGGGATGAGCTGAAAAAAGAGGTGACCTTAGCGGTGGAAAATGAGGTGAGGTTTCCATTGAGTGTTTTATGATGACCATCATCACTGTGGTATTTTAGCACCTCAGGTAGAGTTAAAAACTAAATCCACAGATGACCTATGGCCTAACTTTCCTCCCTGCTTCCCCCAAAGCAGTTGCATGATTTAAAAAAATTCCTTCTCACTACTTCCCCATCTCTTAACTATTCCTCTTTCTCCAGGGGTTCACCATTCTCCCCCCTCTCCCTCCACTGCTCCTGTACTGTTCTTTGTTCTTTTAGATGTAGGTGTGCCAAAGTGAGCCGCACTTCCTTTTTCCTTTAGAGTCTGTTTACATTGTAAGTCAGAGAGCACTTTGCATAGTGACAATGGTGCCAGGTTTTGCTTTATTGCAATGCCTGTCTTGTGCACATCTCTCGCACGCTTGTTTTCTCCATGCTGCAGCAGTGAGAGCCTGGTGGGTGGGTGGCCGGGTGCAGTAGGAGTGGGCATGGGTCTTCACCCACCACGGCTCCTTTGTGCACCTCAGGGAGGCGTGTAGACATTGGGAGGCCTCACTTCAGTGCTGCTGCTGAAGGAGAGACCAGCAGGCAGGTGGTGGGAAGTGGGGGGCAAGCAAGTCCATTCGCTGCTCTTCTGCGGCCTGTCTTCTTTCCCTTGGTGAAAGATCCTTAAGCATTATCAGGGAAACAACAAAACCCTTATAAAACTGCTCTGCTTTTTATAGAAAGTGCATCTGGTTGGAAAGGTGCTTATTGGAAACTTTAAAAGTAGTCTAGTTAAAGGAAAAAGCTAGTAGACGCTGTCCTTTTAACTCTGAATTTCCCTGGTCTCGGTCTAATGGTGGTCTATTAACCCACCACGTACTTGTAAGGATTTTTATCCTTAAGTAACTGATGTATACTCTGAGTGTTAACATCACCTTACAGCTTTGTATCTAGGATTATAGAAGTGGCTCTCATGGACTCTTGTCTGGCTCTCACTCCAAAATACTCAGTAGTAGAGGGTGCAACAATTTGTATATGGTGTTTTCAAAATATGTAGCCATGCAATTAGCTACATGTATAGCTATAACTGGCATTTCCTGAGGTTTGAGTGCCTAGCTGTGCAATGCTAACCTTCCTGTGACACAGGTTCTTTGTTGGATTATATTAATCTTTTAAAAATGTCAATGTACCAGCCACACGCACACAAATTAAACCCTCCTTCAGTGGGAGGCAGAGCTGTAAAATACCATTGTAGTGCCGAATTGCCATCTTTGGGGAGTCAAACCTGACCTGATATTCTGCTGTTTCCCCCCAGCTCCAGGGCAGTGTGACAGAATACGAATTCTCCCAGGAAGAGTTTCGACAGTTACAGGTTGAGTTCTGGTCCAAGTTCTATGCCTGCTGCCTTCAGTACCAAGAAGCACTTTCACGCCCTCTTGCTCTCCACCTGAATCCATATACTAACATGGTGTGCCTGCTAAAAAAGGTGAGGCACAAAGCAGGAGCTGCTTTATGCTGTAGACACTTTGCACTGGTCTAGTCCAGGGGAGGGCAAACTACGGCCCACAGGCCGGATCCAGCCCACGGGATTGCCAGCCCTGTGGTGCAGCTCCTGGAAGCAGCCAGCACCATGTCCCTGGCCCCTCCCCACTCCCCTTCCGTGGAAGGGGAGCACAGAGGGCTTTGTGCACTGCCCTCACCTGCAGGCACTGCCCCCTGCAGCTCCCATTGGCCGGGAACGGGGAATCGTGGCCAATTGGAACTTTGAGGGTGTTACCCACAGGCAGGGCAGCAGAGCTGCGCCCCCCGCCCCCCACACCACTGCCAGACATGCTGGCCACTTCCGGGAGCGGCGCGGGGCCAGGGCAGGCAAGCCCCGCTGTGCGCTGCTGCCACTCCAAGTAAGCGGCGCTGGGCTGGACCCCAACCCCCTGCCTTGAGCCCTGTGCCTGCACCCCAACCCCCTGCCGCACCCCACACTCCCTCCTGCACCCAACCCCCTGCTCTGAGCCCCCTGCTGCATCTTGTACCCCACCCCTTGCCCTGAGCCCCCTGCACCCCACACCCCTCCTCCACCCCAACCTCCTGCCCTGAGCCCCCTCCTGCACCCCGCACCTATCCCACACTCCAACCCCTTGCCCTGACTCCATCACTGCACACCGCGTCCCCTCCTGCACCCTAACCCCTTGCCCCAGCCTTACATTCATGGCCCTGCATACAATTTCCCCACCCAGATGTGGCCCTCGGGCCAAAAAGTTTGCCCACCCCTGGTCTGGTCTGAATGTACTGAGTTACCATTGGAGTTCTTTAAGTGATTCCAGGGCATTTTCCTAACTGAGACTTAAAAGATGGGTTATCTTTCACTTTCCCAGGGATTCCTGTCTTTCCTTGTGCCCTGTTCCCTGGTGGATCATCTGTATCTCTTGCCTGATGAGCATCTGTTGACTGAGGATGACAGCACCATCTTTGATGGTAAAGGGGAGGGAAGTTGGGGAAGCCGTTCCACTGTAGAGGAAATTACAGCATACTTGTCACAAGCTCTGAGTTAAGGACATAAAAGTTTCCATGCTAATCCTTTTTTTTACATGCTCAGAACTTTCTGAAGTTGTCTGGGTTGAAACTTCCCCTGCTTAGCCTGAACCTAGTGGTAGATTCCCTTTTGGAAAGCCTGGAGACTTGTGTGTGCGTTAAGGATAAAATGTTGCTGCGACTTAGTTGAAGAAAATCAAAGAGTGGAATTCTAACCTTCAGTCAGTGCATAACGTAGCCCCCAGCAATGGGTATGTGCTTTGCTATCTTTGGGGATGCGGCCGCTTTGAATGAACACCTCTTACTGGTTTCCAATGCCTGAATGTTAGATTCACATCCCAGGTGTGGTCAGGGTTCAGGTGTCATCTGGGTCCCTCTCCGTAGCCTGACCTGTTTGGGTTGTGTCCCCTAGGATTAGGGCAAGGAAGGCCTAATGGCGTGGTGTTAAATTCTTGGTGGTGGCAGATGGTGGGCGTGGTGGCAGCCGTGATTATGAAGATCATGCCCTGTCCTCTAAGCTGCTCCTTTTCCTGCAAGTTAGCAAGTGATGCCCAGGAGATCCATGTCCAGGAAAAAGTGGCCGCCTTGTCCCGTTAAAAATACCCAATCAAACCGTGGAAGGAAGCATTCACATATTATCATAATCATCTTAGCCTTGTGCCTTCGCCATTTTTTGATCCAACCGAGGGCCTTGAAGATCCCTTCTCCCCAAAAATCAACTTTAAAGCGTGTAGTTTGTATCACTCTGTTGGGCTCTTCACTTTCCCTTCTTTTGTGAGCTCTCTTGATAGGCAGGGTTCACAGGTCAGAATGAACGTTTACTCCTTACCTACGTTGGCAGCTTTCATTCTGACATTGCCTGATGTTGTCGGCTTAATTTCTTTTAACGTGTTTTTTTTTGTATTATGTGTATTTACATTGAAACGGTGCCTATGTGATGTTCAGATTTCACCTCTACAACCGCTGAAAGTTCTGGGATGTAAAATCTGTTGTTCTAATTGTAAATATTACCTATGCAACAGCTTGCCCTGTGTGTGTCTTGGAATACACGTTGAGCTACACATTTAACCAGTAAAACAGGAATAGAAAATATTCCATGATGTGCAACCTGGCCGAGCTAAAGTTCCAGCTCAGTGTCCGCTTATGCATATGCTGGTGATGAACTGGGAAACGATAACGTGTTACCACACATCCATATCCATTTGCCTTGAACTTAAATTCTTTTGCCTGCTGCCCAAATTCAGATTTCCCAGACACTAAAGTTTCCGTGCATTCAGAGAAGCAAAGCTGGACGCTCAAGAAATCCAAGGAATTCCCACCAGCATAGAAGTCTTACCCCTTGCTTGTTTCAAACTGCTAACGTTAGATTTCTCCCCCGCCCCCCCTCAAATATTGAAAGTCCCCTTTAGGACACAAATTAGGGATGAAAATTTTAGCAGTGATGATTTTCTGAAAGCTTTTAAGCACAACAGTGGTTTATAACTGAAACCAGTGTTCCCTCTAATTTTCCCCACCCATGTGCAGAATGAATTTTGTTACGTGCACCAATATGGAGGCTGTGTGTGACACATCACCTTCATATCGGTGCACATAACAAAATGTATGTGGCGGGATGAGGTTGAGGGGTTCAGAGTGTGGGATGGGGCTTAGGGCTGGGGCAGAGGTTTGGGGTGTGGGGGGTGAGGACTCTGGCTGGGGGTGCGGGGTTTGGGGTGCAGGAGGGTGTTCCAGGGCTACAGTGGGGAGAGAGGACTCCCCTCCCCCACCGCTCTCTCTTCTGACAGCAGCCCCTGGGCTTGGGGGGAGAGGTGCTTCTCCCCACCGCGGCAGCTCTGGGCTGGGGCTGCAGGATAGGTGCCCCTCCCCCGGTCCCAGCAGGTCTGGCCGGGGATGGGTTCAGGGAGGGGTGCCCCAGCCGGTCCGGGGGGCTAGGTTGGGGCCGGCGCTAAATAGGCTGTTGCACAGCTTACAGGGAACTTGGACTGAAACCCTCTTGCAATTTTAACTATAGCAGTTGTTAGAAGTGACTGCAATAGCATAAATGTTTCCTCATGGAAGGTACAAAGGACTCTTCCAAGTGCAGACAGCTGGGCCAGTGGAGGTGTCATGGGCCTGGATTAGAGATACCTGTTCCTTAGTGAAGAGTTTTTAAAAATACATTAGATTAGAGATTGCAGGGTTGTTCTTGGTATTCTAGACAAAACAGGTCTGCAGATGGGCTGTCTCTGGTCCTTATGAGCTGCTGGGAAATTGCTTACGGATGCAGAATCCTCGTTCTGAATGCATGGAGCCAAGGCACAAGAGGCAGAGTCTGGCTGTGACTTTTATTTTCTAGGCATATTTTCCCCAGTTCAGTTTATTTTCATCCAGGTCTTGTAACTGGAGAAGACTGAAGGGAAATTTCCTGTTACCGGTTTTCAAACCAAACTGCACAGAGATCCTACCACCTTCAGCTCCTCCATGTAGTCAGCCTGTAATTATCTAGTTAGTTAATTATGGAGCCAGATGGAGTCTTGTGTTGCTGGGGCAAATTTGCCCCAAGAAGCTTTCCTATGAAATGAGCGGAACTAACTTGGTTTTGCCTTGAAACGATTTGCATGAGAGTACAGTCAGGTTCTTTCACTGCAGATCTGGAGATGTCTCGCGATGTCGTGTGCCTTGTCCAGTGCCTTCGGCTGATTGGAGAATCTATTTCCATGGAAATGGCATTCGTCATGGAAATGGCTTGCTCCCGCCTTCAGCCTCCAGAGAAGGCTGCAGAGCAGATCCTGGAAGACTTGATAGCCAATGACACGTAAGGGAACTCTTTGTGTAACGTACGTCCCTTGTGAAAAGATGAAGGCACGAATTGTCTGTGCAGGGTTTGCCTTAGACAGCCCTTTACCCGAGTCTTCTAAGTGTGATTCAGGATGTGTGAATTCTAGCTCCGTAGTGGGAGATTTTCCAAGCACCTCAAGGATTTGGGAGCACGCGTCACAATTGGCTTTCAGTGGAGTTTGTGCTCCTAAATCCTGTAGATGCTTGGAAACGCTCCCCAGTAATGATTCAAGTGGCGAGGAGTTCTGAACCATGGCGTCCAGAAGCAGGAGCTTCAGTTCTGAGTTGGATAGTCTTCTTCACAACGTGAAAGCAAGTGTATCCAAATAGCTGAACCTCCCTAGCTAGCTGGTTTTAGATCCTCGCACACCATCTCATGGAGCATCAGTACCCTCAGCCAAGTACAAGTTATTCCTCTACAGCAGGGGTTCTCAAACTGGGAGTCGGGACCCCTCAGGGGGTCACAAGGTCATTACATGGGGGGGAGTGAGTGGTCAACCTCCACCCCAAACCCCACTTGTCTCCAGCATTTATAATGGTGTTAAATATATTGAAAAGGATGTTAAATTTATTAGGTGGGGTCGCACTCAGAGGCTTGCAATGCAAAAGGGGTCACCAGTAAAAAAAAGTTTGAGACCCACTGCTCTACAGAGTGGGTAGGAGAGGAGCAAGTGGATTCACCCTGAGTATGGTGCCTTCATGGGTCAAAAAGATGTTTTTATTACAGTGGAGGGGAATTCTCCCTCCACAATATCTGTAGTGGTCAGACCAATGTCACTTCTGGGTCTCTTACTATGGGGGCCACTGATGGAGGGGGTCTGTTGACATTACATACATTGATGCAGGTGAATTTTGTGTGCCCTTGCAGAGAGAATGTGATGGAAGATATTCACAGTAAGCTGCAGGAGATCAGAAACCCTATCCATGCCATTGGGGTGCTGATCCGGGAAATGGACTATGAGACGGAGCTGGAAATGGAGAGAGGTGATACGACACAACCTTTGTGGTTTGGCTAGTAAGGTGGTAGAGGTTTGAGGATTGCAGTTGACCTAGCTTCCATTCTCATCCTGTCTTTCAGCTCAGCCCCTCAACGTGCGAATGAACCTCTCTCAGCTCTATGGTAGTGGCACAGCAGTGACTGTGGTATGCCGGGGTGTGTGCAAGATGGCCACCACCCGCTTCCTAATCTGCCGGGACTTGTTGATTTTACAGCAGCTGTTGCTGAGGCTAGGCGATGCTGTGAGTATGGTCCAGAAACCTATTATCATAGAATCATAGACTATCAGGGTTGGAAGGGACCTCAGGAGGTCATCTAGTCCCACCCCCTGCTCAAAGCAGGACCAACCCCAACTAAATCATCCCAGCCAGAGCTTTGTCAAACCTGACCTTAAAAACCTCTAAGGATGGAGATTCCACCACCTCCCTAGGTAACCCATTCCAGTGCTTCACCACCCTCCTAGTGAAATAGTGTTTCCTAATATCCAACCTAGACCTTCCCCACTGCAATTTGAGACCATTGCTCCTTGTTCTGTCATCAGCCACCACTGAGAACAGCCGAGCTCCATCCTCTTTGGAACCTGCTTCAGGTAATTGAAGGCTGCTATCAAATCCCCCCTCACTCTTCTCTTCTGCAGACTAAATAAGCCCAGTTCCCTGAGCCGCTCCTCGTAAGTCATGTGCTCCAGCCCCCTGATCGTTTTCGTTGCCCTCCGTTGGACTCTCTCCAATTTGTCCACATCCCTTCTGTAGTGGGGGGACTAAAACCGGACACAATACTACAGGTGAGGCCTCACCTGCCGAATAGAGGGGAATAATCACTTCCCTCGATCTGCTGGCAATGCTCCTACTAATACAGCCCAATATGTCGTTGGCCTTCTTGGCAACAAGGGCACACTGCTGACTCGTATCCAGTTTCTCGTCCACTGTAATCCCCAGGTCCTTTTCTGCAGAACTGCTGCTTAGCCAGTCGGTCCCCAGTCTGTAGCGGTGCATGGGATTCTTCCGTCCTAAGTGCAGAACTCTGCACTTGTCCTTGTTGAACCTCATCAGATATTGATGGATCCTTGCGCCGTGAGGCTTTCAGGATCTTGATCTGCCCCGGTGCCTTAAGCTGGAGCTTTGGCTCTCTTCCTGTCTTACCGCTGACATGCTGTGCGCTAGGGCAGCAAGCAAATCCCTTTCTTCGTTGTAGGGGAGCAGCATTTTCAGTGCTTTGTTCCCGAACAGCACCACCTGCAGGTTCCCCTCTCTTTGCATTAATTCCCCAGCTCTCCATCACAGTGCAAGAGACTGAACTGAGCAGGCTGAAGACTAAAGCCTTTTCTGCACTGGAAAGCTGGCAACCACTTCAGCCAGGCCGGGATAGCTAAAGCAGTACATGTGGATGTAGTTATATCAGTGTTTAAGGCCAGAAGGGACCCCAAAATCATCTAGTCCGACTTCCTCAGTGTCACAAATCACCAACACCACCCAGCGCCTGCGCACTAAACCCAACAACCGACATCAGACCCAAATATTACAGCCTGCAGGAGACTAGGCTATTAGTTGACTCAGGTGGAGAATTGGAGGGACCAGGGTGCACCAAGAGGCCCCCACAATGGCAGGGAAATGTTTGAGGTACACCCAGATAATCCTAGCAAGTGACCCGCACCCACACACTGCAGAGGAAGGTGGAAAAACCCCAACCATCATCGTCTCTAGCTTTAGAGTTGGGCACCAGGCCAGCAGCTGCTGCTCTCTGGTCACCCAGGTCTGAAGGCAGCATCCCTGCTAGCATCAGCGCCGAAGTGAGGGTGGAAATCCCGTGGGGGGCAGGAGTCCCACCCCACCTGGTCCCCTTTTAGATCAGGACCCTCACTGTTACAACACCATGACATTTCACAAGTAAACATCTGAAACTGTGAAATTAACTATTTTTAAAATCCCATGACTGTGAAATTGACCAAAATGGACCAGGAGTTTATAGGGCCCTATTCATAGTCATCCTGTGATTGACCAACACACCGAGGGGTCTCTCCTCCTGTGTCACTTCCAACTGATGAGCCCCCGGCTCGTAGCAGAAATTCTTGTGGTTAGATCCTAAGTGCGTAACCTTGCACTGTATACTGTTACATTTCATCCCATCTCTGTTGCTTCAATCTTCAAGGTCATCCAGATCTTCCTGTATAATATTCCAGGCCTCCCCCGTATTGATGCTTCCCAGCTTTGTATCATCAGTAAATTTCATTAGCACACACCAACTTTTTGTGCCAAAGTCATTAATAAAAATATTCAATAAGTCTGGCCCCATGACCGATCCTTGAGGAACTCCACTAGTAGCCTCCCTTCAGTCCGATAGTTCATCTTTCAGCACAACCTCTTGCCTTTCTTCCTTTAGCTCAGTGGGTTTCAGACTTTTTAGATTGCATAACCCTTTCCAAATAGTGTAGTCTACAATGTACCCCCATCTGAAATAGGGTCATAATATACTTATGGTTAGATTGCCAAGTTTTACTAAATAAAATGCGTTGTGTGCCATCACAGGATTTTTCACGTGTACCCCATGATGAGAACTCGTGTACCCTTAGGAATACGCATACCCCAGTTTGAAAACCACTGCTTTAGCTGGTTATTCCTGTCTTCTCTAATTTAACTAATAATTTCACATATGGTGCTGACTCAAATGCCTTACTGAAGTGTAAGTACATTAGATCTGCATTTCTCTTCTCTAAAACACCAGTTATTTTCTCAAAGAAAGAAATCAGGTTAGTGTGGCACAATCTACCTGTGTTGCAGTACGTCTCCTTTTCAGTTTACCTTCATGAATTTCATTATTCGTTCCTTTGCAATTTGTTCTAAAGTCTTGTATTTTACTACGGTCAAACTAACAGGCTGTAAGTGCCTGGATCAATTTTTCTCTTTCATAAATATAGGTACAACGTTACATATCCTCAGTCATATGGTACTACCCCCAAATAGATGGATGTATTACAAATCCTTGCTACCAGATTAACAGTATCATGTGTAGTTCTTTTAGTATTCTGGGATGGAAGTTATCCAGTTGCCCTTATTTGAGTACATTAAGCTCTTTACATTTTTCTTCCACGTCAACTGTGGCCATTTCCATTTCTAGACACTCATTTCTATCAGCCATCCTGCGTTCATGCCCGTGTTTCACATTATCCCCCTTACTGAAAACCAAGGCAAAGTATTCATTGTAGATTTTGGACCATACCTAAATTATTTTTAATCTCATCCATACTGCACAGTGGCCCAAACGTATCCTTCCTTATTCTTTTTATATAATTAAAAGACATCTTATGTATCTTAATTTCCTTGGCAAGAGCTAATTTAGCTTAATTTGTAGCAATTCTTACCTTATTCCTACATTTTCTAACCTCTATGATGTGGCTTTCTTTGCTGGTCAATCTCGTTTTCCATTCCCTGTAGGCTGTTGGCCTACTCTTAAAAACCCTTAAGGTGCTTATTCATCCAGCTGTGTCTGGAGGCTTTCACTACAAGTTTTTTTCCCCCTTGCTTGTGATGCAAATTGCAGATAGTTTTTGTATAGTTGGTTTAAAGAAATTCCAAACCTCCCCCACATGTAAATCTTCAATCTGTCCAGTCCAGCTGACTTCTTTAACTAATTCCCCAGAATACAGCATAGACAGGGACTGTTGATTACATTGACGACTCTGCTCATACATATGTAAATACATAAAAACACAAACATCATCTCCCCACGTGTCTTTTGAGGGTTATTTATTTTGCAGGATGTTTAACCCTTTCTAGCCATGCGTCACATTGTCCTTTTGAAATCAAAAGCCAGAGTTGACAACCTAGTTTTGATTATCATTCCATTTAATTTAACCTGAATCAACTTGTGAACCCTTAGTCCAAGATTGATTCCTATGACCAGCTTACCAGACTTATCAAAACCAAGTCTAAAACTGGTTCAGTGACAATTTGATGAAGAAAAGACTTTCATATCAGTATAAAGGTGCATTACACTGGTATAGCTATGCACACATAGGAAGCGGAATAACTATATCCATATAAGGCATCTTCACACCAATATAACTGTCTACTCTAGGGTTCTTACAGATGTAACTATTTTTTAACCCACCCGCGCTCCCCCCTCCCCAACTGAAATATACCAATAAAACTTATACGTAGACTAGGCCTGAGAGGTGCTGCCTCTGTAATGCCCAATTTCAGCCTCAAATTTCCCTTTCATAATTAACAGACAAGAAATAAAATTTGTCCCTTGTGGAACTCAGAACAGCTCCTCTCCCCTCTTTGTGCTTCATGCCCTTCACATCTTTGTAGTCTTACCTCCGTGTTAAGCTTTCACTGGGTGGCCCTGGGTAAGGACTGAGCTGCATACCAGCTTGCACCGAAGTAATGAAACAAAATGACTGTGCAGCTTTTGTTGTTTTGGTGCCGGTCTGTTTAACGTTTTGGAATGCAAGTATCCTGTTTCCGTTTAGCGTACGCTCCGTGACCACTAATGGCTAGGAAGGCTGGGCCCCATGCTGACCTTTGACACTCTTTGTGATGTCACTTTTGTCTTCTGTCTCAAGCTGAAGCCATTGGCTATCCCTGGCCTCAGTTACAATGCCAGCTGCTTTGGTCTCTTTACAGATGATTCTGGGAGGGGGCCAGCTGTTCCAGTCTCAGCAGGACCTGCTACATCGCACCTCTCCCTTGCTGTTGTCTTATTACCTGATCAGGTGGGCGAGTCAGTGCTTGGCGTCGGACGTTCCAGTCGACACGCTGTAAGTGCTTGTGTTCCCAATCTCTAGTCAAAGTGGATTGCTAGGTTTCATATAAATTCTTTGAGATGTCTTGAAATGCCCTTTAGACAGATGAGAGATCATCTTGGGTTCTAATTCTAAGAATCTTAAAGAAATTACCTCTCTTTGGGTGATCAGAGAGTCTTAAATGTGAGTTTCAGAGACTATTGTCCACTCTGATCCTTGGTCTAACTTTCTTCTTGCGGGGAAGGGGAGGGTCACTTCCCTGTTAGTGTTCCACTACTTCTGTTCTCCCTGAAAGATTCGTGCTCCGCAGCTGACGTGCTTCCATTTACCATGTTGTTACGTCAGAGGTGGTTCTTCCTGGGTGGATGGACTGGAAGCTTCATTTTAGGAATTCTACAAAGACACAAACTAAAGTTTCCCCTCCCGCCCCCCCCCCACTGTACAGACAAGTCCTGTGAGACTTGTTGGAAGCGACTTTTAAGCGGCTATATTAGGTTTGATCAGTAAAACTTTGTGAAATACCAAGTGTCTAAATAGGTATGAAACACTGACAAGATACAGTTTGATTTTTCCCTCCCACCTTTGATTTGTTCTCTTCCTGTCCCAATTCCCAACTCTTTATATTTTTGTACTGTAATTTTGGCATAATGGTCAGTAATTGGGTTTTTACTGTTCATTAAAAACTCACTGAACAGTGAGTTGCTCTTTTCCATCTGTTGGCCTGGAGCAGTCCTATTTGAGAATCTGGACTGATGCAGAGTAGCTTTGACAACTGTAAATGATCATTTCTCTTTCCAGCTGTATTGCGAATGGACACTGAAAATATTCAAAGCATTTTAGATTTCTGACTTTCTCTTGGGTACTGAGTCTGCCTTTGCTGTGCCGTGGCAGGGTTCCACACCCTGGTCATTTCAGCAAACAGTTGGGTTCAGTGTGGACAGTGTTAGAATGTGTAACACAGGATGTGCTTGTCTCTCTTTTTATAGCTAGATTTTTCTCCTCTAGGGAATCCAACCTGCAGCACTTGTCTGTACTGGAGTTAACAGACACCACAGCCTTAACACCACATAAACTAGGTAAGAGATGTGCTACAAGGTCTTCAGCTCTTAATTTTGACTTTAAGCCCATACTTTCAGACATGACTAGTGATTGTGGGGGAGGGAGAGGGGCTCGGTTCTTGGGTGCCCAGTTTCAAGGGGCTTATCTTTCAATATGTTCATCACCTACCCTCTTGTGGTCCACAAAAATTGTGTGTGGCCAAACTAAAGCCAGCCTCCACTCAGGCATTTCCCGTGACTTTGCAACCTATCACTTTTTTAATAACTCTTTTAATGGAGTTTTTTGTATGTAATTTCCTACATTTTTTAAAAATGAGAAATGGTTTGGGCGTCTGTAACGCCCCTTCCACTTATCCGCAGGGTTCAACCATTCTACCTCTGCCACTCAAGCCATATGGTTAACTACAATTACTAGCAGCAGGAGTAGTAGTCTGTTATCCTTTGTGGTCTAGCCTCTAGTCTAGCGGAAGATGCATAACACTGAAACACTGTGCTTGAATAACCTCATTTTGCAGACAGCACAACTCTGTAGTACCCACACTGTCCCTCCGAAGTGTCACAACCACACTATTCCTGACAAATTACTCACTTTCTTATTTTTACCATATAATTATAAAATAAATTGATTGGAATATAAAAATTGTACAGTAACTTCTCACTTAACATTGTCCCAGTTAACGTTGTTTCGTTGCTGATCAATTAGGGAACATGCTTGTTTAAAGTTGCGCAATGCTCCCTTATAATGTCTCTCTGGAAGAGTAGCCCCTCCTTATGGGGATTAGAACCAGCTCCCCATAATTCCCTGTAAGGTATGTGGCTCAGTTCAGGTGGCCCTCGTCCCACTGCCGTGCTGCTCCTGACCTGCTCTCTGCCTTGGAGCTGCTCCCGGGAGCTTCCTGCTTGCTGGGGGAAGGGGGGAAAGGGTGCTGATGTCAGGATATCCCCCTGTTCCTGCCCCCCCCCGCCCCCCTCGCTCTGTACCCCCTCGCCACAAAGTAGAGAAGGGGACAGTCACAGGGCGGGGACTGAAGGGGGTGGGAGCTTGTAGGAAGCAGTTGCTTCCTGTCTGAACTGGCTGCTCTGCTTAAAAGGGCAACGTACTTGAAGTGGTGTCAGCATACTTAAAGGGGCAATGCATGTCTCGCGCTCTCTCGCTCTCTCTCTCTTGCTCTCTCTCTCTCACGCATGCACGCACCCCCCAGCACTTTGGAAAGTCAGCACCTGTGCAGCTGTGCATGTGCTGTCACGAGGAGGGAGTGGTGCACTCCAGCTGGATAGCGTGGGCTCATCATCCTGTTTAGTTTTTTCAGGGAAGTGTTTGCAGCCACTGCCCTCCTGCATCTGTTGTGTTTCCTCCCTCCTGCCTCAATCCATGCTGCCTTGTAGAGGGTGAGGCTACATTAACAGCGGATTAACCCTTGAGGGCTCAGCCGAGTGCTAGTTCATTTAGCAGCGAGGCATTCCCTGGGAGGTATCCCACCCTCTTACTCCACCACCTCAACCAAGCTTTATAATCAATCATTCATTGCTGTGTACAATATTAAACCGTTTGTTTAAAATTGTTTAAAACTTAGACTGTATAAGTATATAATGTCTTTTGTCTGG